TACACCTGCTTCAATAAAATAAAGGAACAACGTTTACAAATTACACTAAGAGTCAAACTAGCGTAGATAACGTGACAGATATGTCAATGGTCACCATGTTAGGAGGGATGAGTCACTTGATGACGCGCTCTCCCTGTTGGAATTAGGCCCAAGTTTTTCACTTTTCACCAGCACGACTCATTCCTTAAGAAACCTTGGGTATGATTCCACGCTGTCTGCACAGGTTTTACGATATACCGCGTTGCAACCCTAGACTGCTTCTAAATACTCATTATTTTGCTCTTTGTAAACCTTCTAGCTATGTGGTGGAGATCAACCGCACAGTCTTACATGGGAAAGAATGTGCCTGACTAAGATCATAAAATCGGCCTGAAGTGTAAGGCAAGTTCACTCGTTCTCACAAAGCACTCCTCTTCTGCAGCTCATTTATGGATTTTCGGAGTTTATCCAAAATGTTTCAAGAGTTTTTCACGGTGATGTTTTGTATTTCTGAGCAAGGAGAGTGACTCTGACTTCAAGATCATCCCGTCTTGTCTTTGTGCCCAATTGGGGCTTAGTAGAGTGTTTTGTTTAACCTCACGTTACTTATCTACTTGATACTCGAATGGCCGGTGTTCGCTGGTTGAGCGGTTCCCAACATCATTCCCATTTTTTTCGGAGTTTTACTGGTTTAGCTATAATGGTTACCTGGAGTCTCGAAATCAGCCTAGCTGATGTCTGCCTCTAGTCGTTACCACCACAGGAAGTCACCACCCTTGTGGATCAGAGGAAGATCTGCCACCATGCGACTAGTTTTGATGCCAAGACAGTGGCGGGTCCTGGTACTGGTTTATCCTTAGCTAGGCTTTCTGATGGAAACGTGGAACTCCTTCTCAGTTTGCGAAACCCTTTTAGGTACGAATCCTCCCTGTGGACATCGCATCCTGACACTCAAGAACACCTCCCAGCCACGATGAGGCGATGAATCGCTGGGAGGCTGACCTCACCTTAATTTTTGCGACTAAGCGTCGCTTTACATCTACGCATAGTAGCCTATCCGTTCCGCCAATGTCCTCTCTTCGACAAAGTTCCTGTATGCTTTACAAGGTTAAGTATAGCGCACCCAAACTCATGCAAACGCCTTCTCTACCGCTAGAGCAAATCATGCAATTTTGCGTTCCGAGTGGGTGGTCGTACTATCGGTTAGGTAAACGAGACTCTATTTCACTTCGACTACGATAACAGGTATTTCTTGTGTCGTTTTACTAAGATTCTGCATAGAAAGGTATAACTTTTCCATAACTTGGATGGCCTTAATGGGACACGAACCCTTGCTCACACTTGGATTCACTGTAAACAAGCATCGGGACGCCCTGATGCTGTTCAAAGCTACGACACAACTCATCTTCCAGCCTAATCATCGTGTGAGCCCGGTCAGTTAGTGTTTGATGCAAAAGCCTCTGACTGTTGTCGAGTGGCCTCTGTGTTCTACTTTGCGTTCCCACTGGTAGGTGGCTTTTAAAACAGAAGTTTGCCGCGTGCGAGAATCCTCACACTTTTAAATCTTACACATTGAAATATAGCGAATTTTTGGAAAAACTCCGACTAAACGCCCTAAGCAACTGAAAACGGGTTCCATTTATAATTGCAGTTCGTTCTACCGTAGTAAACAAACCTGACCCAATAATGACAAGTAAACATGCCATAATTCAAAAATTGATGATGTAATCCTGAAAATATGATCGGATCTCTGGGACAGATCTGACCCAATGATAATAAGGTAACATGCACGATTTGATAATTGCTGACCCAGTCGCAAATGCATGACACAATCGTCAAATATTCAATTTCATCGCCAAAACGTATTTCTACATGCGAAACAAACGTCTTTGTCCTTCTCCTAGTACTCTGCTGAATATCGCACAACTGTCTCCTGCTTATACTCGTGAGCTTCTCAGTGAACCCTGTCGTGAGCTGGCGACCGTGTGGAATCGATCTGGTGGAAACCCCGTGCATTCCACCGGGAGGAGTCCAGCACGTCAGTGTCGCTCGTTGCCTATCGATCGCTTGACAGCCCGATTTGCCCACGACCAGCTGCTCGATCGTCCAAGTTCCCATCTCTGCGCATTCTTGCCCTCTAACTCTGGTATTCATCTTGAGTTCACTTTTTTCTGCTGTTATTTTTTTTGCTGTCAATTGACTCCTAATAAAATTCTCCAGTGTCAACTGACTTGATTCTCCCTTCTTGTTCCTGTGCATAACTATTTGTGGTTTTTTTGTGGCAACGGGTCAGCTTAGTTCTTACGTAAACTTTATGCACCACCCGATTTCATGTATTGTGTGAATCCCATGAATTCTTTCAGTCTATTCACTTCCTAACACATGTCGTCCGCAAAGGTCCTCACATTTCCTGGCGGCTTCGGCTGCTACTCGAAAGTTCTGATCCTCCTCATGGATTTATTTGAGTTCATTCCCCGTGTAATTACGAGATAGCTAGGGCTTTCCTAGGTTTCACCTCATGTAGTTTCCAGGTGCGTGTGGCGCAGTGGTTGGAGGCGCCACTACGACACACACGTGGAATCGTTCTCCGCTCCTATGGCCCACCAAGCCTTCCATCTCTCCGAGGTCGGTAAATTAGTACTAGACTTGTCTGGGAGGATAGAAGCACTGGCTTGATACATTGGTAGGCCACTGCGAGTCATTGTAAAAGCCAGATATGCATTCAATCACCTCCAACAATGAAGTCGAACGCGTGGCGCATCCTTTAGGTATTGACCAACGCTGAGAACTTTATCCTTTATCCTTTTTTACTATAATAAGCGACATTTGTTTGTATTGTTGAACTTACACGAAGTTAATAGAGTTTATTCGGCTAAGGTTCCGACGTCTTCATCTTCATCAGGGCCGACGATCCTTGTCGGTGGTCCACAGCTGTTCCTCTTCTCGATGTGGCTTCTTCATCTCATATCAAACCGGATCTTCCTCAGCCGAGTATCACCTCGAATAAAAATCTCTATCACCTACAAAATTGAAACAAATGCTGTTTATTTATCTCCCAGTGTATTTCTCGCTAACTCTGTTTTTTCGTTGCTGATTTTATAGAACTTTTTACACGATCCAGTTTCACTCTGAAACCTTTTTTTTAAAGGCCTTCTTCTTGGCGTTGAGAAACGGAATGTAATAGATATACTCCTGAGGCACATCTTTTAGATCGGTGAAGCTCACCGCCACCATGACGACAAGCGACATTCAGACTTTTGTCTTTGTAGTTGTATTGCCGGTGCTGTTTTCTACAGGGTCTCTATATTTTGGAACATGGAGAGCCATGTTCTATTTGGCGGAGAGGTAGGCTATGCCTAGGGCGATTGTGTGTGCTTTCGAGGTTGATTAGCTGTCAACGTGCTCGTCAGTGGGTCACCTATTAACACTGACTTATTCATCAACCTGTATTCAAACTGAATCTATGAATACAGTCGACACTGTGTTTGGCCAAATCCACTGAGTTCATCGCTGCTGTAAATGTTAACCTTTAATCATGCGCTTATCACATTCGCGGAGGTACGCATTCATTTCATTACGCGGCTTTATTAACTCATTGGTGACCGTTTCAAGACTACAGTGTTTATTTTCAGTTTAATGGATTCCAGAACTTTTCTAATACACAATGTCTATTCATTTGAAAGCTGAACAAAAGATCAAATTAAGAGTGGAGAGACCAGAAAGGCCATTCTCTATGCTCAGTAGTTTACAAGAAACAGATTTTTTCTGACACGCTCATTGACCTGTGGTTTGACTGATTGTTGTTTAAATTCTAATCGTTGTAATGAATCCTTGTTATCGTATGGAATGTGCAGGTACAAAAAGTACCGAAAGAGGCAGTATAGGTTGCAAGACACTTTCAAATGGAGGCGTTAATGTGTTTGCAGGGCATACTATGATAGCCTGTGCTAAATAGAAGCATACATAGAATTTACTCACATAGAAAGGTAGATCAAAGTCTCTTCCACAATCTTATCTAGTTCACAACCACTGAAGTACTCTAGTCATCGAAAAATGATTGTTCATCTCCAAAAAACCAACAAGTCCGGAAAGCCTGAAAATTAGGTGACCTCGAGAGTGGGTTTATTGTAGAATAAGGATTAGAATCTATATCTTTTTCTTCAAGAAACAAACTCTCTTATTCGCCCTGAATTAAATTCTGGGATTTTTGGTTCATCTAAGTGTTTTTTTTATATAAATGGTAATATTTTGAAAGCCAAAGGAATTGAACAACCAAGACTTTGCCCACGGTGATTCCCGAACGTATCGTAGGTTTCTGAGGTTGCTGCTCCTGCGTTAGAAGTTTTAGAAGTTGAAATTTGTTTTTCTGTCATGCAAAGATTTTAATTCTGAAAGAATTTAAAATGGAAAGAATATTTTTTAAACACTCTTTACATCGTTATGGGTGTGAAGAAACCCGTTTCGCGTGTGTTAGCTTTTCTGGTTTTGAAGTACCCTAGTTATCGAAAATCCAGCTTTATCTCGAATCAGTTCAATTTTTGCATCGCATTATCTCTCAATTTGAACTTCTTATTTCCGAAATCAAGGGGATGATTCATAGCCTACACATTTAGGGGAAGTCTGCAGGGTCTTCAGTGGCTTAGGCGTTTTGAGATTTCGCGAACATATTCCAGTTAGTGGAAAAGAAACCCACTATTCAACCATCTTCGATTTCGGAGTTTGTCATAAACATTTAACAAACACGCAAGCTTGCTAAATTACTTATAAACAGTAATATACTATACTATTCTACACTATAGAGTTTCTGACTTCTTAATTAGCTTAGAGATCAACTTATTCGAATAGCCGTTAGGTCCTTTGATGAAGCTAAATACTCATGTCGTAGTTCGCATGAAATCCTCATTGAACGTGAAGAACCATTTTATTGTCATCCGAAATGAGTTGATGAGATTGAAAGAGTATATCGCTATTATCGAACAGCTTACATTTCGTGAGTTAAATAAATACGCTTATTCAAGAATATGGAAGTGAGCAATCCGGAAGAGGTGTTGGCGATGTTGGATAGCATTGACGCGATGACGGACGTTCTGGAATATCTGTACGAATCGCAAAGGAGGCGGCGTACTTACGTGCGCCCAGAGCATGTGCCGTTTCTGGAGACGCGTTTCCGAGACTTCGACGAGTACCTCTCATCACAGACACCAGAAGCATTCTTGCAGTACACCCGCCTGATGCCTGCTGAATTTGAGCAACTGTTCGAGCATCTGGGTGGGCGCCTGCATCATGCCTCGACTCATGCGGCGCCTATTGGCGCCCGGCAACGCATGTGTATCTATTTAAGGCGAGTTCGTGTTCTTTAAAATTCTACGACGTATATATCATTAAATTACCAGAAATGATTATATCACCTCATGTAACTCTTCCCTGTTTCACTTTTTCATCAAGAGAATTCAGTTATGAAATTTCTGGAATAATTGGGTGTAGAAAAAGTTGAGTCAGTAAAAAAAGTCGAGGGCTATTGTTCCCTGGAAACAAACGTTCGCCGTTCTTTCTCCACTTACTTCCAGTAATATATTAATAAACAGAACATTCTGCATAAAATATGGAGAGAAATATATCATATTTCTAGAGACAATTGATACTTGATACTTGAACGGCCCGTCCTCACTAGTTTGTGAGCTACAGCATAATCACTATTTTTCGGAAAATTTCTGGTTAAGCCATTGTGGTTCCCCGGAATCCCGAGGACAGCCTGGCCAAAGTTTGCCCCAGGTCGTCACCACGACAGGCAGTTGCAGCTCTTGTGGATCAGGAGATTTGTCACCATGAGACTTTGATACCAAGACGGTAGTGGATCCTGGTATTGGTTTACTCCTAGCTAGGCTTCCTGATAGAAATGTTGGACACCTTCTTAGCTTGGGAGACCCTGCCAGAGGGACGAATCCCCCGTTGTGCATTGCAGTCCGACACCCAGGAGCACCTCCCAGCTACGATGAGGATGTATTCGACTATGTATGCATTAGTATATATGTATATGTACTATGTATGTATGTATTGTATGTATTATGTATGTACTATGTATTCGACTTTATTAAGCATCGCTAGAGGTGACTTCATACATATCCGGCCCATACGTTGACTAACGGTGGCATATTAATGTGTCGAGTCAGTACTGCTATCCTCCCAGACAAGTCTTGTACCAGTTTACCGATCACGGAGGGATAGAGGGCTTGGTGAACCTGTGGTGCTGGATCGAACATGTGTATAGAGGACGTAAACGTGATATAAAAATATTTCACTGCATTCCCAGGATCAACTTTCTATTAACTTCGGCATTGGAGTATAAATGTGTCGTTTTTTTTTTGTTAAACAATCGCGAGGTTGTTATACAGCATACGTTTACTTTCTTACAAAAACACATACAACACAACAGTAGCTGACGTTGGCTGATGCCAGTCATCAACCATATGCGATTGTAACCAGCTTTTCTTCTCCTGCTCAGTGGAATGCACGTAAAAAACGGCTCTGAAGAAGACGTTACTGCCGAAACGTCAGCTACTGATATATTGTGTTTTGTATGGAAGTAAATGAATGCTGTATAACAACCTCGCGATCGGTGAACAAGAAAACGTCGTAGGTAGTTCACTCCATTTCATCAGAATCTCATAACGGCATCTATTGAACAAATATAACTGAAAGGCACAGTTTTTTGTGTGAAAAATGGCATATGAGGCGAGTGGAAGGTGGCTGTGTGGCAACGAAGAACTACGATGGAGTAGTCGGCTTTGTATTGTCCATCGAAATATACAGGAAGAAGATACTGCAGAGATTTACATATGAAACTTTCCAAACCGTGCAAATCACACCGACATCGATTGGAACATTTCCTTTCATTACGCTGGCGTCAGTAGGCTGAGATTTTTCAGCCGAACAGTTGTTGAGAACCGTTCAAACTGGATGACAATGAACATACTCTAAAAGATTTGAGAATTAGATGGAAAACATAACTCAACATTTCTAGTGGCTATTTGTTAAAGAGGCGTCATTTGCAATGAAATCAACTACAGTCTGTAGATTCTTGTGCGGAAGGTTGAACCTTTCTTGTTTCTACCAGAGCGAAATTGCACTTTTTGGCGGTTGCGAAACCTACTTCTTGGCTTTTTTCCAAAGGTAATGTTGCCCACCGTTCCCCAGATGGTTTTAGTTGGCGAGCTTGCGTTAGAAACCTTGAAAACTTAAAATCTGTTTGCTGTTCTCTCCAAGTTTCAGGTTTAGGCAGAAGTATAATTGAAAGGCTATTTTACAAAAGTCCTGTGTACCTTAAAGCGTCGGAGGAAAGTCTGCTTTACAAATTTATGAAGCTATATGCTTCTTGAAACCATTCTTAGTTCTTGAAAAAGTAGGACTTTCATGATTATGTTGAACTAAGACTAATCGGTTTCCTTTTAGATTTGTCGGCAACGGATTCAATTTCACCGCTTTGTCGGAAGAGTTCAGTTGTGGCAAGGCGACTGTGTCTGCCATCGTTTCCGAGGTTATCGAGGCGATCATCGAAGGTTTGTGCGTAAGTAACTGCTGGCGATTAACTACACTTTTTTGGACTTTATTTAACTCGTTCGTCGTTTTATTCATCTGACTCGCTTGTCGTTTTATTTGTTCAACTCATTCAACTATGCAGCTCACTCAACTATGCAGCTTCACTTCGTCTGGAGATTTCGGCATCAGTACAGAGTTTCGAAAAACCATGTGCTTATCCTTTCTATGCGTTAAGAAATAAGCGTTTGTCGGACCGCCCACAAAACTCATATCAGCTCAGATCAAGTCAAATTCATCGATGAAATATGACGTTTCGTGTTCACCACTATATTGGAATTACAGGCAAAGAATTTGCTTAAAAAATAAAGAACAACACCTTCAGCATCGAACAGTCCCCTTAGGGTTCGCAGTTCATTCGACCTTTGTAGACATCGTAAAAGTGAATAGATGCATTTTTGGCCTGTACAGTGGATTGTGTGAACCTGCTGTTATATTAAGTTAGTGTTTTTTTTCCTCCAAAACAGGTCTGAGGGGGTGCGTGTAGTGCGGTGGACGGAGACTCCGTGCAGTATACAAGGGACCGATCCCCATGCTTCAGGCACACCAAGCCCTCCATCCCACCGGGGTAGGCGTATTGGCACCAAACTTGCCTGGGAGGATAGCAGCGCTGGCTCGATGCATCGGTAGGCCACCGCGAGTCATTATAAAGGCCAGATATGCATTCAGTCACCTCCAACGGTACTTAATGAAGTCGAATGCACGGCACATCCCTCAGGGATTGATCGAGCTTTAAGAACAAAGAGCTTTAAGAACTTCAAGACAGGTCTGGCTCTAATTTACGAAGCCTAGAGAAATCGATGACTTGCTTTGTCCGGAGCGCGGGAACGAAGTAAAGAATATGCATCCTTTCTAAGGCAAACCCAACCGCACACTACACGCGTTGAACTTCCTTAGTATATGCGAAGCTTAAAAATGATTTTATCCTAATCGTGTTTTTTCAATTATAAAACGTTGGACCGCTCGATAAATAAGTGTAATCTGCCATAATATTGTGTATGGTTAGCAAGTTTATTTTTAGGTGAGACTCACAACGCATTTCCACCAATTACTAGGAAATATCTTGAGGAGGTGGCGGCAAAGGTACAAGAGCTCTACGACTATCCCAGGGCTGTCGGCTTTCTTGATGGGAGGCACGTTCCCATCAAGGTTTGAATGATTACGAACACTGACTGACCTTCGAAAATGCACATGAAAACATGTGGAGCCTCACTAAAGAAACATTTGTCTCTTATTTTAAAGCTTCTATCATCGTGTTTTATCAAAAATTCCTAGATTTCTCCTCTTATTGTCTCTTTCAACATAGTCATTTAAGAATGGTGAACATTTGTGGGACGGGTTTCTAGCCGGTGCTGAACTGTTTCATTCCTTTTTATTCAGTTACTTTTGCACCTTCACTCGTTTGCCATAATATTCCATGAGCTCGGATGTAGCCCTAAGTAGCCATGACCTACAATTGCAAAGCATCCAACTACCGAGCTTGAAGAGAAAACTAGTCGATTAGCAGATTGTCATCTAACAAGTGAAAGTGAAATATCATATGTGACTACAAGAATTTTCATCGAAGGTTGTATTAAAAGTAACACATCTTCCTTGAATTGTGTAATGAGCAGTATCGAAAGCATCATTACTCACCGTCTTCTTAATGAGCAAACACGAGGTTATTATAACAGCATTCGCTGGTACAGAATAACGGCGGTATCGCCATCTTCAGAGCCTGGCGAGGTCAAATTGACAAGTAATCTACTCAGTCAAATACTTTCATAACCTTAGCAGATAAAACTTAACACACAAATTTGCATTCCCACAATGAACACCTTCTTCGAAATACCCAGTGTTTTATTCGTTGTAAGTCATCCAATTAAGTGGTGGAGAGCAGCCGCATAGAGTCTTACATGGGCGAGGAATTTGCCTGCCTCAGGTCAACGATTCAGCCTGAGGCAGGGAGCTAGGTCACGCGTGATCACAAGCCACTCCTCGTTGCAGTTCATTTTTGGATTTTTAGAGTTTATCCAGAACGCTTCAAGACTTTTATGCGCTCAATTTTTAGATTCCAATGCGATTGCGATTTCTAGTTCGAAATCTTCTCCATTGTGTCCATGCACAAGAATTTAAAACTTAAGCGCGTTATAGCCATGATCTTTTTTTGGATAAACTCAAAAAATCTGGGAATGTACCACAAGAATGAGTGCCTTGTGATAACGTATGAGCTCGCACCGTACCTCGGATCGATTTTTGATCCAAGCCACGCGTATTTTTTACCCACATAAAAGTTTGTGCTGCTGGTCTCCAATAGCAACTGGTGGTCTTAAGAACAACAAAACGGTGAGCAATCGCTTTTTAATTATTGTCTATTCTTTTTCCATTGCAGAGAACAATATGAAATATAACCATAATGACGGTGAGATATTTGCAAAACTCCGGACTGCAGGTGTCAGCGGTGGGAATCGAACGGTCTATTTTACCCTTTCCGAGAGCTAACGAGACCAGCACCACACCATGTGGGTCCTTCGTTTCGCCTTTCTGTCGGCCGTGTTTTATAGGTTCTATCAGCACGATCTGTTCTCCTCAAATCAGTCTCGTTGACAGATCATTGCTGATACCACCCATAAAACACGGCTGGGCGAAAGGCGAAACGAAGGACATCCATGGTATGGTGGTAGACGCGGTACTCCCTGGAAAGGGTAATAGCGTGTTTGATCCCTACTGCAGACACCTGTGATCCGTGGTTTTGCAAATATTCTGAACCAAAACGGTGAGCATTGAA